AGGTGAGCAGGGGTTTGCATTGGCTGTTCTAGAAGCAGATTCTGAAAGCAGAGGGAAAAACAGGGCTTAGAGGCTGGTTGGGAAAATGGGAAACCAATTAGCACACAGAACTCTAAGCCAAACCTCAGAGAGATATTTTCTAAGGCCTCTGTGCCCACCTGGTGCTAAATGATGAAGCCCCAGAGTCAGCATTAGGTAAATAAATAGCTGTCACTGGGGCTTGGGGAACTCTGCTAATGGGGGGTTCCTGCCTTCAACTTAATCTGTGCCTATGGTACATCATAAAGAGTATGAGGGAAGAGAAGCAAATAATACTCCTGGCTTAGATAAAACTCCATTCCCTTTAGTTGCTTCCTTAAACCTCCAAGTCCGACAATGATTGAGCTTTTCCTGAATCAACTGTAGTTGCAAAGTTGAACCCTATACCTCAGGGGTCCTCAAACTTTTTAAACAGGGGGCCAGTTCACTGTCCCTCAAACCGTTGGAGGGCTGGACTATAGTTTAAAAAAAACTATAAACAAATTCCTATGCACACTGCACATATATATGTATTTTTTTGAGACAGAGTCTCGCTTTGTTGCCCAGGCTAGAGTGAGTGCCATGGCGTCAGCCTAGCTCACAGCAACCTCAAACTCCTGGGCTTAAGGAATCCTTCTGCCTCAGCCTCCCAAGTAGCTGGGACTACAGGCATGCACCACCATGCCCGGCTAATTTTTTCTATATATATTAGTTGGCCAATTAATTTCTTTCTATTTATAGTAGAGATGGGGTCTCACTCTTGCTCAGGCTGGTTTCAAACTCCTGACTTCCAGCAATCCTCCCGCCTCGGCCTCCCAGAGTGCTAGGATTACAGGCGTGAGCCACTGTGCCTGGCCACATATCTTATTTTGAAGTAAAAAAACAAAATAACACCCCCATGTGGCCTGTGGGCCATAGTTTGATAGTTTGAGGATGTCTGCAGCTAGATGTGTGGTCCTTTTACCACCACTCACATGTATCCACAGAAATTCCTCATAATCATGGAAGGGAACAGGCAGGTCTTTGAGACTGAGAACTTACTTGCAGACCACAGCAGGCCTGTGGGAGGAAATGTTGGACTCAGAGGCAGGAGACCTTGCCTTGTAATCACCTAACACCTCAGGCAAGTTACTTCTGAGACTAGGCCTTGGCTTCCTGAGCTGCCAAAAACAGAGGGGTTACAAGAGAAGATTCCCAGAGCTCTTGGGAACAAGAGGGAAACCCCAGGGTCCGAGAGGAGGAAGACAGATTGGTAAGTTATCTATTGGAGAAGTCCTTTTCTCTTCCTACTCCTGTTCCTTCAACCCCTAGATTTTTAGTATAGATCTCCTTTAGAATCCATTTTTAAGATCTCTAATTCAGCCCTTTATAGAAATATATAACATCTCACCAATCCATTCACATGTTTTAGACGTCTACTTTATTTCTTACCCTCTTTAAACCTATTTGACATTTCTTGGATTTTGCTTTTAAGAAGTAGCTTCCAGGAACAAACAGCTTCTATAATTGGGACACCCTGCCCACCCCACTCCCCCGCCAGCTACAGCCCCACCAAGCTCCATCAGTACAAAATAGTCCCGAACCCTCAAGTGCAGCTTGAAGCTCAGTTGAGGGAGATCTTTGTGTACAAATAGTTCTTTAGTGATACAGCATTTCGGGACTGTCACTTAGACTGCTTTAAAGATTACCTAAAAGATTACATTCCACCCCCTTCTCAATGGGTGCTGGGGAGGGCCAGATTTTCTGTCTATGGCATGTTCCATTTGTCCTAGGGGGAGGACAGGTGGGGAGGAATGACAAGGCAGGAGCTTGTTCACTAAGTTATTCCATCACTGACCAGCTGACACTTCCTGTGACAAGTGGAAATTTTTTTCCTGACAGGTGCTCTGGCATACAAAGCAAGCACACCCTAGAATCAGCTTAGGAATAATTCTGTTTTCCCTTAGAAAAGCAGGACAACACTAAGAGAGGCAGAGAACTCTGCTTTCTAGTTTTAGGTAATTGGGTTTTTTTCTTCCTATAAAAGTTCAAAATGGGCTGGTTAGAAAACGACCCCATTCATCTTAAAGAAGGACCATTTCTCCTTTTCCTGCTCACTTTTCCCTAACATAAACAAAGGATCAGGTATCTATATCTGACAGGAACAAAATAGATCTGTATAGGTCAAGAAGGGTACCTCAGATTGAGACCAGAATATCAAATTGCTTCATGATATGAAGGCTTTCTAAAAAGGAAAAATAATTTTAAAATAAAAAGACAGAATATTGCTGAGTACTTAACAAACACACTTATATTGAGCCTTTTGCCTGTACATAGAATATATATTTCATCTAGAATATATATGCCAGACAAAACTTAGAGAGCCTATCCAAACATGTTGCTACTTACTTTCTCAGCATGAATTGAGATATTAAAAGCATTGGCTAATATAGGTGACAAACTATTATCGCCTTCCCTTTTATCCTTGCTCTTGAAGGTAAGTCTAAGAAGCTTAGGTTCACAAAAGGGATCTAAGGAATGCTGTGTCTCCCACATCTACCCACACTTATCCAACCTTTACCCAGTTTCTAGGAGAAGTTTCTGGAGAAGTTGGGTTAAGAACAACTATCAATTTTGTACCATTGATTCTAGTTTCTTACATCCTGTTCAAAGGGAAAATGCCCTGGGATAGCATGGCTTCCTCCTTAATTGGTGCTAGCTCTGCAGAAGAAGAGACACAGAAGCTAACCACATAGCCACAGGGAGGAATGAAATGCAAGGGAATGCCTACCCGATCAGGGCTGAGCCATCTTTCCCCTCTGCAAACAGTGGCACAATGGTATTTCAGGCTCTCCCTATGTCAGGCTCCTGACATGCACCATATGTAGCTGCAAATCCCAATCAATTTCAACATTTCTTAACTGCTAGAACACCCTTCTCCACACTGTAATTTACCCTCGCAAGAATAGGGAGCAAGCACCCTCATCTTCCCAGTACCACATTCTACTAACTGCCGCCCCCTCCCATACCCCACTAAGGTTTGCCTACCCACGCAAGGAAGAAGGCAAATAACCTTCCTTCAAAGCCCACAACAGACTGCCACAGTATATATGCCACTGACAGAACTTTTATTTCTTTTTAATGACATTAAACACAACTGCTACAAGGGAAAAAACATGATAAAGAGGAGGCACCAAACTTCGGTTTCATAATTGATCCTGACAACAACACAAGTAAATCAGGGCCTGTATTAGATGCAAAACTACAGGTTATTTCAGGCTCCTTACTTACAAGTAAACTATGTAAACAGCACATTTTTACTCTGCTTTGTCAAGACCCCTGTGGTGAAGGAATGTAGTCATGAAGAAAGCTAGGCAGGCAGTTAAATAAATGCATACAACCCTTACTAAAATAAAAAATACAACAAGAATTCTACCTGAAATAATAGACTTAGAGGCCACATCAAATACAAGAGATATACAGCTTTGAAAAGTTGTTAAAACTCCAGATTCTACCCACTACCATCTTTAAGGCGAACATGCCAGATAATGAGTTTTCTTTGGCTTTGTGTTTTCTTCTTAAAGAATACCATGTTAACCACTAGGAGAACAGCTCTCTCCTCCCCCAGTCCAACAGATTTAATTAAGCTGCTAAAGCTTTGGAAAAACAATTATTTGAGCTAAGAGGAAATGTGATTGTCACATTTCCTAGTTAACCTGTCACTCATTTGATTTGGCAAAGGCAGTGCTCTCCTTATACATTCATTAAACCCCTCTGTACCAAGAGGGCAGGAACGTGAGTCAGAATTTGGCCTAAGCAAAATGCTATCCCTTTACTCCTTGAGTTATCTGTGGGAACTTGACAGCTGCAATGCTAGCTATTCCAGCTTCATTTAATTTTAACTATGCTATGGTCCCAAAGGTGGATATTTGGCACGTCTCACTCCAAGCTAATTTAGGGTGGCCTGGAGAAGTGACTAACATAGTAAATGCCAATTGTGCCAACTGAAATAATAGACTTTTGACTACTACTTTTCAACAGAACCTCTTCTTTGCATTTTGGTCCTAGAAGCTAAACCAATGTCTAAGGAAAAGAGAATCCTTAACTGGATAAACAGTAAATACTTAGGGATATCCATCTGAATTTACTGGTGATCTTAATGACCAAGGTATTCCCAAGTCAGTTTCTAAAGTGGGATTGGATGTTTAAGATGTGTTACTCATATACAAAGATGGGGTTGATAAAAGTATAAAACAAGATAGGGGCTATAGCAGTTATGAACAACTTCAGAGAATAAACAATAGTAGCAAAAATGCCAGACTGCAAAACTTCTCAAAATGATGTGTTGAGCTATTTGCAAAGAGAGAATAACAAACTCCTAAGACATCCATTAAGACAGATGCACAAAGTCTGTCAACTCCAGTTAGAATACCAAACTTTAAGATTAGGTAATGCTTTTGTGCATAGGCTTAGTCACAACTGTATTAGACCCACTTTAGCAGTTATATGAAATTATGCATCAGGGGCTTGACCAAATGAGATGGTAACAGCCAGGGTCTAAAGGCACCTCTTGTTAACTAATAATGAAGACAAGAGTACCTCTCCAAAATTTCTCTCACAGGATAGAGGTTCCCTGACTAACACCCATATTTGACACATCAACCCATGCTTAAAGTTGGGATTTAGCAGATGAAACCGAAGACCAACTGACCACAAAATGGTACTGGCCTGTCCTACAGTCAAGACTCTGGGCAGCTCTTCAATAAAGACAGCAAGGGGGCCATTCTGAAGGGGCATATCCATGTCTCACAGGATACAGGAAAGGAGTACTACCAGTAGAACCTAAGGAACAGAGTGATCACTAGGTGTGTGTGTGGGGGGAGAAAATCCTTGAAGAAAGGCAGAGGAGACAACCAGTCACAAAACCACAAGGTATTCAACAGGGGTCAGGGGTTAGTCATAAGTATTCTGTCAGAGTTAAAATGTATAAGATCTGTAAACACTACTGTGCAAAATAAGTTTAATGAGGAATGAAAAAAAGCCAAAAATAAAAAATAAATAATGGCAGCTAGTAGGTACAGAAAGGAGAGGAGAGGACTTACACTTTTAATTTGTCCTTTCAACAGGATTTTTCTCCTACTCCAAATTTCCTGGATTGCCAACTTTAAAATACTAAAGGATATTCAGAGATTCAAATAAAAGAGGGGCTGTTAAAAGTGACCTATATCCATTCACAAGTCATCAGTAATAATTAACACTGGCTTATAGCCTGGTAAAGAATCTCCTCCTTACAGGAGATTAAAAGATGACTTCTTTTGGGCACCACAAGTAGATTTCACCTCTGCAGAGGTGGGTATTATGCTTGAGCCTGGGTGTTTTGGCTTAATGCTGGCTTTCAGGAAGTAGCCACCTTCAATTTAAATAAAAACAAAAAAATTGTATCAACTTAACACTGCTTAAACACAGACAGACACATAAAATCAGGAGAGAGCTCATACAAAAAAAATTCAAGTCAGCAATGGGCATTTCCAAAAGGTGACAATTTCTTTAAATAAAAATCTTATAAAAAATGAAATTTAAATTCTACGAAGCACAAAACAGCGGAGGAAAAGGAGATGCTGTTCTGAACAGGACCCTGGATAGGGACCTTCATTGCTGATGGGATGAGATAAATGGATTCTAGGAGAAATCCTGGCGACGCTGGAATCGATGGTGACTTCGCATGTTCCTGTCAACCCACTGAGTGAGACTGTATCTTTGCAGAGTTTTCTGTCGGCGGGCATAGTTTCTATAGAGAAAGAGAGAGAGAGAGAGAGAGTAAAAACAGAACGAATGTTTCAGCCGTAATAGCTATTTGTACACAAATAAAGGCCAGCACAACTATTTTAAGCATCTCTTTTCTTTTGGAAAAGATATTTATTTATATTTTGATTCTCAAATTTTAGAAATTTTATACTATTTATATGAAAGCCACATCATAGGTGCTATTTCCTTCCGATTCCCAAAGCTACCTAATTCCCACATAGGTATTAAGGTAGTATGTGCCACATACTCAATGTTCTAAAGAAAACTAATGTAGAATAATGTTTAGGTAGGAAAAAATTTTATCCCTCCAGAATAATTTACAGCAGGATCTATATTTCATTGTTTGCATCAGACCTATACCTGTCTGACATGGTTCAAGGTTGCTCAGGACACAGCAGTTAGAATTAGAATAAAATTCCCAGAGAAGGTAAGTCATCATATGAGTATCACATTGCAAGTTTAGAGACTGAAAAATTAATAGCACAGACTCAAAGTAAATTTCATATATATATATATATATATTTTTTTTTTTTTTTTTTTGAGACAGAGTCTCGCTTTGTTGCCCAGGCTAGAGTGAGTGCCGTGGCGTCAGCCTAGCTCACAGCAACCTCAAACTCCTGGGCTCGAGCGATCCTTCTGCCTCAGCCTCCCTGGTAGCTGGGACTACAGGCATGTGCCACCATGCCCGGCTAATTTTTATATATATATATCAGTTGGCCAATTGATTTCTTTCTATTTATAGTAGAGACGGGGTCTCGCTCTTGCTCAGGCTGGTTTTGAACTCCTGACCTTGAGCAATCCGCCCGCCTCGGCCTCCCAAGAGCTAGGATTACAGGCGTGAGCCACAGCGCCCGGCCTATATATATATTTTTTGAGACAGAGTCTCACTCTGTTGCCCTGGCTAGAGTGCTGTGGTGTCAACCTAGCTTACAGCAACCTCAAACTCCTGGGCTCAAGCGATTCTTCTGCCTCAGTGTCCCAAGTAGCTGGAACTACAGGCATGTGCCACCATGCCCAGGTAATTTTTTAAATATATTTTTAGTTGTCCGACTAATTTCTTTCTGTCTTTTAATAGAGATGGGGTCTCACTCTTGCTCAGTCTGATCTCGAACTCCTGATCTCGAGCAATCCTCCTGCCTCGGCCTCCCAGAGTGCTAGGATTACAGGTGTGAGCTACTGCACCCGGCCAAAGTAAATTTTCTTAAGTCTCCTTTAGTCATGCTAGGCTGGAGTTCTGACCAAAACGCTCTGAGATAATTTGATCTCATTCTCAACTCCAGAACTGCTCCTGATATCAACCTGGGAAGCCTTTTAGACATGGACTCTTGCCCCTTCCCTCCTCCCAGACTTAATGACTTAGAATCCCTTGAATCAGGGCCTGAATATCTGTATTTTTGGGTTATCTGCACAGGTAGTTATGAGGAATAGCCAGGCTTGACAGTAGTTTTAACAGTATTTGACATTTATCTATCCCTATATACTTGCTGAATTCTTAAAAGGCCTTGTCTTTCTTAATGCAACTAGAACTTAATGCAACTTAATAAACTACTAGAAAAGTAGTTTCATTAACTACTTGTACAGGGGTAAAGAAACTGAGCCTCAGGTTAAATAACCTGCCCAAGGTCACACAGAGTAAGTAGAAGAGTCTAGATTTGAATTCACATCTGACTCCAGAATTTATCTAATAAAAATTACACTACATTGCCTTTCCTTCTGAGAACTGCTGACTTGGCAACTATAGAGGAAATGTGAGTGTAAAGGCCCTGGAGAGGGGAACATGTCTGACATGTTCAAAAAACAGCAAGGAAGCCAGTATGACTAGAGTAGAGTGAGCAAGAGGAAGAGTAGTAGGAAATGAACTTGGTGAGCCCAGGCCAAAGCATACAGGCTTCTGTAGGGGATTGTGACAATGGGAAGATGTGAGCTGAGAAGCCACTGGAAAATATTGAGCAAATATGACTTATGCTTTACAAGAATTTCTTTGGCTGCTGAGTTGGGAACAGTAGACAGGCAAGGGCAGAAGCAGGGAGAACATTTAGAAAACTTGCAATAATCTAGGTGAAATGATGAGAAATGGTCAGGTTTTGGATATACAGTTGGCCCTCCCCATATCCATGGGTTCCATATCCGTAGATTCAACCAACCGTGGATTGAAAATATTCAGGAAAAAAATAGATGGTTGCATCTGTACTGAACATGAACAAACTTTTTTTCTTGTCATTATTCTCTAAATATAATATAATAACTATTTACATAGCATTTATATTGTATTGGGTATTATAAGTAATCTAGAGATGACTTAAGGCATACAGGAGGATGTGTGTAGGTTATATGCAAATACTTTACCATTTTATATAAGGGACTTGAGCATCTGAGGATTTTGGTATCTTAAGTGCTCCTGGAAGTAATCATCCACGGATACCAGGGACAACTATATATGAACAGCCTATAGAATTTGCTGAGGGACTGAATATGGGGTGAGAAAGAAAGGAATCAAAGATGATTCCAAGGTTTCTGAGTAACTGAATCAAATAACTGAATAAATCTGTAAAGCCACATTGCCTCAAAAATCCATGTTTTAGAACTAGAAAGGTTCTTTGACACCAAGTAGTCTAACATCTTCATTGTACTGATGTGAGGACCAGAGAAAAGTGAAGTGACTTGATCAAAATCGTAGCTGGTTAAAAATTGTAAAGCTAGTATTAGAACCTAGGTTTCCTGAATTTTAGTCTAGTTCTTTTTTTTTTTTTTTTTTTTGAGACAGTCTCACTCTGTTGCCCGGACTAGAGTGCTGTGGCGTCAGCCTAGCTCACAGCAACCTCAAACACCTGGGTTCAAGCAATCCCTCTGCCTCAGCCTCCCAAGTAGCTGGGACTACAGGCATGCGCCACCATGCCCAGCTAATTTTTTCTATATATATTATCTATCTATCTATCTATCTATCTATCTATCTATCTATCTATCTATCTATCTATCTGTCGGCCAATTAATTTCTTTCTATTTTTTGGTAGAGATGGGGTCTCGCTCTTGCTAAGGCTGGTTTCAAACTCCTGACCTTGAGCGATCCTCCCGCCTCGGCATCCCAGAGTGCTAGGATTATAAGCTTGAGCCACCGTGCCCGGCCCAGTCCAGTTCTTATTCCATTATAATGCATTGCTTTTTTTCCACCTCTCAGATGAAACAATTTCAACCCCACCTCCCCACTACATTGCTCCTACAGCCAAATTCTATCTTTTTTCCTCTTTTTAATCATCCACTCACCTCATAGTGAGGTCCGAAGGATGCTGCCATTTTGAGTTCTGCATATGATGAACTTCCATCAAGGCATACAGCTCCTGCCAGGGACCTGTGATACAGAGGGATTTGTGGTTAGGAAGCAGCTAAGTGAACAACTATGTCAGCCAAGCTCAAAGTGTATGCTTTCAGGGAAAGAGAAAACAGGCACTGGTCTCAATAATATCTACTTATGATTTGCATAAACAGTCAGCATAAAGACTACAAACCAGAGTGGGAAGCCAGCCCTTCAGTGATGATGGTGAGCAATAATGGTAGCCACGATTCATTCATTCAACATTTACTAGCTTTTAAAACATGTGAGGAACTTTACTGGTCCCTAGGAATATGGCAGTGAACGATACATTGTACCTCAATGAAGTTTATAAAGGAGACAGATATTTCCCAAACAGTGTGATGAATACAGTTATAGAGAAATACAGGCTGTGATAGAGACTAGTGGGTGTTAGGAAAAGCACCCTCCAGGAGGAGTAAAGAGATCTAAAGGATATCTAAAAGTTAGTGAGGTAAAGTGGGGCAGGAGGTTGGATGTCCAAGAGAAATAGTCAATACAAAGGCCCAGAGACAAAAGATAGCAAATACATTCAAGAAACAAAAGGAGTTTAGAACAGTAGAGATGGATGCTCTTTGCTAACAAGAAAAATTGCTATAGACAATTTCTCAAACACCTGGGAGCCTGGCAATGTATCAGGTACTTTACATGTTATCTTACTTAATTCTAAAAAATATCTTACATGGAGATAGATGTTATTAATAGCATTTCAGAGATGTGGCTCAGGGAGGTGAACTTCCCTTAAATGCTTAATAACCCAGGTTTCAACTAGCTCTTGTGTGATGCCATACTCTTGCTACTATGCAACAATGCTAACTTTGCACTTAAGGGCTGAGACTTAGGCTGAAACCCAGTAGAAATAGAACACTAGTTAGGAAATAATTTCCCTAGACTAATGGTTCTCAAATTTTAACAGGTATCATAATCAGCTGGAAGTATTATTAAACAGACTGCAGGACCCAGATCCCAAGGTTTCTGATTATGTCAGTCTGGGTAAGGTCTGAGAATTTGCATTTCTAACAAATTCCTAAGTGATGCTGATGCCACTGGTCTGAAAACCTCACTACTGAAAACCTCACTTTAACAACCACTGCCCTGGGCAGTGGAGATCTTTTGTTCTGCTAATTTACAAGTTTCTCATTACTTTATCTTCTATGCTTTCAGGAACCAAGAGCAGTCTAACAAGGCTATATCAAGCCTCATTACTCATCTATGAAAAGTGGACAATAATATTATTTAGCATGAAGTTGAGTATTAGGAATTTTGTATATAAAAGACCTAGTATATTGCTTGGCACACAGCATGTGTGCAGTGAGTGGTAGCTATTACAATGGTGTTACAGCCTCAGGCCTCAAGCTCACAAAGACTGCAAATCCTGTGACAAATCACCTTCTATTTTTAAGGAAAAGCATTTATTAAATGGATTCATCTATACATAAACTGTGACATGTTTTATGGCACTCAGAAATTTTTTTCTAACCACAATAATACTTTTCAGGAAAAATTTATAGATTTGTTAGATTAAAATTAAAAGTTTATATATGTTTAAAGTAAAAAAGCACAACCAAGGGTAAAAGATAATTGACAAAATGAAAAGTATATTTGAAACACATTTGGCAAAAGTTTAATGTCCTCTTAAGTCTCTTCATTAAAAAAAAGGGGTCAAGGACATGCACAGGCAATTCATAAAATACAAATGATCAATAAATATGTGAAAAGAATCCTCAGTCTCACTCATATGGAAAAAAAGCCATATTACTTTTATACTTGAGAATGAAATATAAATCAGAAATGAATTTCTCCTTTAAGGGAACTATTGATTAATTCCTTTGTCTGCTGGATTTGTTAAGCTAAAATCAAAGGTCTCAATTAAATTGCTTTTCTATTTTTTTTTTCCTTCTCTAAATGTCAGAGTTCTTAGTCGGATTGCAAACATTTTTATATAAGTCCTTGGCAACCTCTAAATTATTCTTGGTGATCTTGATATCCTTCTGGCCATTCTTGGGACCAGAGGAACATATAAAATCATTAAAATTGCTTTTCTTCTTTTCTTTTTTGAGACATAGTCTTACTTTGTTGCCCAGGTTAGAGTGCCATGGTGTCAGCCTAGCTCACAGCAACCTCAAACTCCTGGCCTAAAGTGATCCTCCTGCCTCAGCCTCCTGAGTAGCCTCAGCCTCCTGAGTAGCTGACAGCTGGGACTACAGGCGTGAGCCACCACACTTGGATAATCTTTTCTACTTTTAGTAGAGACAGGGGTCTCTCCCTTGCTCAGTTTGGTCTCAGATTCCTCGGCCTCCCAGAGTGCTAGGATTACAAGGTGTGAGCCACCACGCCCAGCCATAGAATTGCTTTTCTTTTTCTTTTTTTTTCCAGACAGAGTCTTACTCTGTTGCCCAGGCTAGAGTGCCGTGGTGTCAGCCTAGCTCACAGCAACCTCAAACTCCTGGGTTCAAGCCATCCTCCTGCCTCAGCCTCAAGAGCTGGACTACAGGCATGTGCCACCATGCCTGGCTAATTTTTTATATATATTTTTTAGTGGGCCAATTAATTTCTTTCTATTTTTGGTAGAGACGGAGTCTCGCTCTTGCTCAGGCTGGTTTCGAACTCCTGACCTTGAGCCATCCTCCAGCCTGGGCCTTAGAATTGCTTTTCTAATACCCTACACCTTCATATTGCTAACACTCCACTCCCTGTAGCTCCTCAAAAAGGACATCTCAGCAGGGGTGGGGTGGAGAGAATCAGCTTTGTAAAAATTTCAAGATACACTTTTCTGCCAAAGCATCACCAAAGGAGGGCTGGCAATATATGGAAATTTTGTGTCCACCAAAATAGAACCCCAAGATTATCTGTTCTTCAGCTCACTCATCTCATCACCTGGATTCTATAAAATTGCCCTGGCAATGGAGACTAAAAATATACTATAAACCTCCTACAAAGTTTTCTATTCATTTTAAAAGAAGAGAAGAAAGAGTAGCCAATTAGGCCCAATGAGCCTAATATTCAAATACTCACCTGCTAGGAGTTAATTAAAATCCAGCAGCACTGGGAGGCCGAGGCGGGCGGATTGCTCAAGGTCAGGAGTTCAAAACCAGCCTGACGAGACCTGTCTCTACTATAAAAATAGAAGAATTAATCGGCCAACTAATATATATATAATTAGCTGGGCATGGTGGCGCGTGCCTGTATCCCAGCACTCGGAGGCTGAGGCAGAAGGATCGCTTGAGCCCAGGAGTTTGAGGTTGCTGTGACTAGGCTGAGCGATGGCACTCACTAGCCTGGGCAACAAGCGAGACTCTGTCTCAAAAAAAAAAAAAAAAATCCAGCAGCAGCAATTTACAAAGCACTTACTATGTATCAGCACTATCTTATGTGCTTTACATATAACAATACATTTATTCTTTATGACAATTCTAAAAGGTATTCCCCATTTTACAGACAAAATTATAAAAAATGGTAAAGAAACTGAGGCACAGAAAAGTTATATTTGCCCAAGGTCACAAAGCTAGTGACATAGCCAGAATTACAAAAATATAAAACTATTATAGGGCTGAGTTTCCTTAAAAGTTTTTCTGAGACTGACATTTCATAGTTGAGATTAGAAAGTAAGAATCATGTAGCTCTATTGTTAGTACTAGCATGAGTAACACAAGGCTCAATAATCAGGTCTCAGCTCATGTACCAAAAAATGTTAGTTTTCATTAGCACTAAGAGCTTATTGTTGGCTTAGGATAACTTATTATTATAATAAGATTTGGCCAGGCGGAGTGGCTCATGCCTGTAATCCAGCACTCTGAGAGGTCAAGGCGGGTGGATTGCTCGAGGTCAGGAGTTTCGAACCACTGAGCAAGAGTGAGACCCCATCTCTACTATAAATGAAAGAATTAATTGCTAACTAATAATAATATAAGAAAAATTAGCCGGGCATGTGGTGCATGCCTGTAGTCCCAGCTACTCGGGCCGCTGAGGCAGCAGGATTGCTTGAGCCCAGGAGTTGAGGTCTGTGTAGCTAAGCTGACGCCACTCACTCTAGCCTGGGCAACAAAGCAAGACTCTATCTCAAAAAAAAAAAAAAGATTTCGGCTGGGCATGGTGGCTCACACCTGTAATCCTAGCACTCTGGAAGGCCAAGAGGCGGGAGGATTGATCGCTTGAGGTTAGGAATTTGAGACCAACCTGAACAAGAGCAAGGCCCCGTCTCTACTAAAAATAGAAAGAAATTAATTGGCCAACTAAAAATATAGAAAAATTAGCCAGGCATGGTGGCACATGCCTATAGTCCACGCTACTCAGGAGGCTGAGGCAGAAGGATTGCTTAAGCCAAGAGTTTGAGCCCAGGTTGCGTGAGCTAGGCTAATGCCACAGCATAGCCCGGCAACAGAGTGAGACTCTGTCTCAAAAATATTTAATGATTACAGAATAAGTGAAGTTAACATTTATCAAGCACTTTATGTGCCACTTTGCTAACTGCTTTACATGATGCTATCATTTAATTCCAAGAATCACAGGTGGCAAATACCACAATCTCAATTTTATTCATAAGTAAACTGAAGCTTAGAAAAAGTACTCATTTATCATCTAGTAAATGGAAAGCCAAGATTCAAACCCAGGTGAGGCTAATAATCCAAAAATTTCATTTTAGCTCATAGCTTCAACCCCTTCCTCTAAATTTAGAGATGCTAATAAGAATGGAAACATCTGAATTTTTTCCTCTCTTCGTAGTCTCTAACAGATGGCTCTCTCTGGACCACAATCAGTACCATGGATTTATTTTAAATTGTGGCTAAAGGTGGTAAAGACTGTCTTTGCTTTGTGACTAAGATGAAATTTATCTAGAAATGAATTAGGAAGGAAAAATCCCAGTATTTCAGGAATGAGATAAATAATTCATCTAAATCTTAACCTATAAATATTAAACTGACTGGTTTTGGGAAAATCTAGTTTAATAATTGTCATTAATAAGTTTAAAGTGAATCAATTGTTATATGCTAATGGAGGAG